TAGGAAGCCATTTGAGCTTATTACAGAATTCAGTGACATGATCATATTTACGAAGACCAAATATGAATCTGATGGAAAGATTTTGAAGTCGCTCAAGCTTGTCCAATTGTTCCTGTGACAGATCAAGATAGCTGACATCAGCATAGTCTAGAATAGGCAGAAGAAGGGATTGAGCAAGTATATATGTATATATAACACATAACTTTACACATTTAGCCCCCGAAGTGAGAGGCAGAGGTGCACATCAAGGCACTTAATGCCACTGTACAATGTAACACCCACTTTTCACTATTTATGTTATGAGTCCCATGATAGGGGTGAGCCTATTGCTATATACTGGGCACAGTTCCAGGCTCCGAGATTTTTTTTTAAAAAACCCTATATTACTTTGCCCGACCCGGGAATTGAACCCGAGACCCCAGGCCCGGCAGTCGCAATTGCGACCACTCTGCCAACGGGGCAGTCAGGTAAGTCAGTCCATTTAAGTAGGTACCTACTAAATTATCTCACTACTGTTTTGAGCCATTTGGGGTCAAAACACTTGGGCCATGGGGTCCCAGTGTACTCTCTGTTTTTAAAGATATCGCCCGTAGGCTAATCGACTCCACACGTGACCAGAAGACTGGCTATTTCTTCGGACAGAAAATAAGCATAGCCTTTCAACTTTCAACCAGTCTTTGTGGGAACGTTCCCCGGTGACAGTGATACCGGCGAGTAATTTGACGCCTATATAAGGGTATTTGTTTTAATTCATTTTATTATTGATAGTTTTATAAGTCATTTTAATTAGATTCCAAATTTGACAATAGCTACTGTCACTTTGTGAAATAATGACATAACATAACATCACGCCTTTTATCCTGAAGGGGTAGGCAGAGGTGCACATTATGCCACTGTACAATGTAACACCCACTTTTCACTATTTATGTTACGAGTCCCATGTAATAGGGGGTGAGCCTATTGCCATATACCGGGCACAATTCCAGACTCCGTGCTACTACTGAGATTTTTTTTAAAACCCAGTAATACTTTGCCCGACCCGGGAATCGAACCCGGGACCCCTTGCTCGGCAGTCGCACTTGCGACCACTCGGCCAACGAGGCAG